TTCTGGTCATTTGTCCACTTCTGGACTTCCAGAACTTGTGTTCTGCATGCACATCTGTTTTACAAATCTGGCTTATTTGTACATAGACTGTTGGTTCCTTTCCTCTCAGATGCACTTTGACTTTGAAGGGAAAACCCCTAATTAGTCGCCTTTTTATGATATGCCTGGAGGGAAATGGAAGGAAGCTGTGGCCCTATTATTTATATTTTTTTCTCCAAATAACCGGGCCTCAGAACCCACACAAGGAAACACAACAAATCTTTATGTTTGTAGCTAACATGTGCTGCTCACCCAGGACCTCATCTTTGTCAGTCTCTACTTCTCTCCTCTACGTGTTTATTGGTCGGTCTTTATTACACTGGCCCTTTGGATCCCAGTGCATTGACACTGTAGCTATGGTTATTTTTCCTCTTTGAGTCCAAAGTTCCAAATAAGTTAAATCGACACGCTTTTTTGCTAGGCAGTGGGTCTATTTTTGTTCCCCCCCCCCCTCCACAAACTAGACCCCGGAACCCACACGCAGAGTTGTGGTTTACACAACTAAGCTACTATATCTGTACCTTTTGGCCCAACATAAAATTTTAGCAAACCTTAATTGTTTGCCTAATTTTGTTTTCACTATTTTGCTATTCTTTGAGTAGGCAAGATTTCCAACCCACTTCCCAGGTATTAGTAAAGTAAAATCATGAAAAAAACCTACTATACAAAGGAGGCCTCAAAAGCCTAGCAAATGATATTTGCTAGTTACACTGTGTTAATAATCTTTCAAAGCTGGGGCTCTGGCCCATGACAATCCCCACTTTCAACATTTATGTAAATTAGTAAATTTAGATAAATAGCCCTACCTTAAGGCACAATAGACTTGGTATCAGATACCAGGCACTATATTTACTAGCCAGTTGCCCACTCGGTTGATCATTAATGTCCAGCTTTTGCTTCCCAGGATAATCCCCCATACACATTTAAGAATGGACCAACATCAGTGCCCAGATCAGTTGTAGAAATCTGCACTTATGTGGATTCAAACCTTTGACCACCAGATAAACATACTCAATGATTACATAAACGTTTATACTCCATGATTACTTAAATGTTTATACTCCATGATTACTTAAATGTTTATACTCCATGATTACTTAAATGTTTATACTCCATGAATACTTAAACATTTATACTCCATGATTACGTAAATGTTTATACCCCATGTTTGTTTACTTTATTGTTTATACTCCATGCTTACTTTAACGTTTATACTCCATGATTACTTAAATGTTTATACTCCATGATTACTTTAATGTTTATACTCCATGATTACTTAAACGTTTATACTCCATGATTACTTAAATGTTTATACTCCATGAATACTTTAACATTTATACTCCATGATTACTTAAACATTTAGAATCCAGATTAAACGTCTATACTCCATGATTACTTAAACGTTTATACTCAATGATTACTTAAACGTTTATACTCCATGTTTGTTTACTTAAATGTTTATACTCCATGCATACTTAAACGTTTATACTCCATGATTACTTAAACGTTTATACTCCATGAATACAACATTTATACTCCATGATTACTTAAACGTTTATACTCCATGATAACTTAAACGTTTATGCTCCATGATAACTTAAACGTTTATACTCCATGATTACTGAGAACTTTTTTTTGGGTGGGCCCATAATGCATCTGGGATAGTAGACATATTTGAATAGGTCAATCAGCCTCTGGACTCTCCAGGACATTATCTGGTAGCCATTTTGAGTTGGGTTGACCTGGGTTGATCAGGGAGGCAAGGTCAATGTTGATAAAACAAATTATCACGTGGGTTCCGGGGCGCTGTTATAGGGAAAACAAGAACAGACCCACTGCCTATCCAAAAGCATGTCGTAAGAGTCAACTAATTGGGAGTTTTCTTCAAAGTCGAAGTGCATCCGCCTGAGAGGCAAGGAACCAACAGTCTGCATTCAAATTATTCAGATCTGTCAAACGAATGCACATGCAACACTCAAGTTCCGGAATAGGATTGCAGTCCACAAGTAGACAAACAACCAGAACTTTCCGCCACAGCTTACAGCTGCAGAACGCGAAAAATAAGAAAAAAGAATGTTGATAAAGTCTGCTTCAGTGTGGATTTGACTCCTGGTCCTCGGGCCGGCAGGCAAGTGTCTAGCCACCACACCATTGCTGCTTTCAGGTTACTCTTTACCATGGCATTTTTCCTTGACAAAATAATGCCAATGCTAAGAATCATTGTGTATCGTGGGAAGGAAAAGAATCTTGCTCCTTACCGGACTACTGAATGTTCTTAACTAAGTGTGCCTTATTTGGTTGCTATATTCACCAGCTCTACCTTATGCATGGTCTCAATACTCTATATTTGTCACTGCTCTGACCCATGTTACCCTCTGGAATATTGACTGCCGTCACTATTCTATAATTTGTTTCATCTGTGCCAATCATAAAGTGTCTAAATGTTTTTTACCAATAAAAAATAAAGGACCTTTTCCCACACCTTCAGGCGTATTGGACATATAGAACTAGACCTATATTTTATAGACCAATGGGCACTTGATGAGTGATGTGGTCAGCATCATGCCGGCCGCCTTTACTTCTCAGGACAGTACCTGGTAACCACTCAAGACTGGGAGCCAAAGTCAGTTTTTGAAAAATAGTCCTGCTCCATCAGGACCCCAAATGTTCCAATCAACAGGCCAGTGAATTTTTGCTTAAAAAAAAAGGTAAAGGCGGGAGATGTGAACCAGCGTCATTGCACACGGTTATAAACCATAAGTGCTCTGCCACCAGTACGGACAGCTGATAAGAAACTGTCCGCCTGTGTCGCCGTCCGCACGTAACTCTGCAGCTACAGCGACGTTGCTCCATTTACCCCAGAGTGTCGCTCTGGTACCCATTTCCTAGAGGCTGGGTGAAAACCGGGAACCGCCCGGTTTCGAACACCGACCATGGCTGTAGCGAGTCACAGCTGGATTTGAAAGCGAGCCTCCTATCCAATGAGCTAACGCGGCTCCCCGCAAAGTTTGCTTATACTATTACTAATATTCCGAGGCATGAGAACTGAAACGTTAAGTAATTGAAAATGTTACGTTTGAGGGAAAATCAAATTATTATTCATACTCCCCAGTGTGGGATCCGAAGCCCTATTATAGGGAAAACAAGAAAAGACCCCTACCCAAAAGCATGTCATAAGAGTCAACTAATTGGGAGCTTCCTTCGAAGTCAGAGTGCATGAGAGGCAAGGAGCCAACAGTCTGCACACAAATGAATCAGATCTATCAAAAGGATGCACACGCACCACTCTTGCTCTGAAACAGGACTGCAGTCCAGAAGTGGACGAAAAACCCAAACTTTCCACCAGAGTTTACAGCTGGTGAACGCAAAGAAGAAGAATTAATCATACTTTAATCACTAAAAAAAAAGCATTCAGGACTGTAAAATCTCATCATTAATTATGTTTGTTACGAGTGACTTCTCCCATTCTTCTTTTTAAATACAACAAATGTAAAAACAGTCTTCTCATGACCTCCAAACAGTTTTTATGTGAGCTGTTTCTTCTTCTTCAGTGATCTCTGGTCATGCGCATAATAAACTGTGGGTCATAAACTGGGATGTCTTTACAAGGTCTCTTAGGTTTCCCTAAAGCTTAGTTGACAGTTCTACTGGGTGTTGCCATATATTGCTCCACAGATCCACCAGGAGAGGACAGTCTTGCAGGACATGTTCTGGAGTCTGTTCAGTACGAAGACACTGGCAGAGAGCTGTTTGGCTCATACCTAATTTATATAAGTGTTTATTCAGTCCCGTACGTAAGCGAAAAAGTGAGCTGTTTATAAAGACCTGTGCCTTTATCTTGACCAGGGTATTTGATAATCATGTGTACAGTAATGCTCCTAATTATGGGTGCTCACAGTCACACAGTGGCATATTATACTGGGAGTAATAATAGGCCTAGTAATAAACAGTGGGTTGAGAGGGAGAAAATACAAGTACTCCTGTTAGTAGTGTTAGTCAGGGAATTGGGTGACTTCCGGTTAAAATGGACGCTAGACAGCAGCGCTGTTCGAAGCAGAGGCAAATTTTTGCTTCTGCCGGATGGTGGTCTAAGTATTTTTGCTCCATTTGTAGACTGGATATAGTTTCGTCGCCCAGCTTCTGAGTTGAATGCATGGTTTGACCCTGTGAGCTGCGGATTGCATTTGGAATGTATTTTCGACTGTGACCAACGTGGTGGTGTGAATTGTAGATTCAGAAAATGGCGTGCAATGTTGGCGGTGCCCGTATCTGGTTAAAATTGATCGCGTGGACAACTGCTGAACTGTTGGCGACAAGTTCTGCTATCATTAATGATGAACTGCATTTCTAATGTTGGACTGTTTGTGTTAGCACTTCGGATGGCTACCGTATGCTTTAATGTGAGTGTATGCTAAATATGCTGAGACAGCAGTCTGTCAATCTTTCCACAAGGGACTGTGATAAACATTATGGGTGTTTTTCGTTGGCACAGGAGCGGAGCAAAGATGGGACGACCCGTTGCTATGAAGCTGAAACTAAGACTACCAGACTACCAGTGTTAGTCAATAATTAATAATACTGGAGAAAATATGCTAGCACTCTCTGACATCCAACTAACCCTTATTTTGTAATAATAAAAAAAATTCCCCCCCCCCCCCCCCTTTCAAAGAAAAACGACAGTAAGTATTGTCAATACTTCAATACTATTGAGTACAGAGTAAGAGTACAGTACAGTTCAGATCAGGTCAAGCGATTTTTTTTTTAAATAATTACTTCAGTTACACGTTGACTTTCTCTACCATGATTTCAAACATGCACCAATCGTAACATTACATCTGGCTTAAACACACATAATCACCCGATGCAAAGTTCCAAAGGTGAAAACAGCTAGCACATCGTGCGGCAAGGCATCACTTGAACTACACAAAAAAATTAACTCGAAGTCGAGTACCACCCCTTACCTATCAAAATCGACAGCAGTAGTTTGATGACACCTTCAGGAACACCTATCACTGAAGCAATATTAGCAGAAACCATTGTGTTTCGTAATCAACCTCTAAGAAACACAAGTATGAATTGTTCTTCCCGCTGGTGTTGTCGGTGACATGCAGGTTCTGCTGCTATCCCACCAAATGAAGCTGTAATTCAGACAAGAGACCAAATGTCTCTCACTGCCTCTCTCTCTCTCTACTACCACCACTGTTCGTAATGTGCCAGGTTGTATCCACGCTTTGCTACCTCTCTTGTGCCTGGAGATCACCAACAGTCGCTTCAAGGACAGCTGATCCGCCTGTGATCTGCCAAGTGTGGCCAAATATGACCTTTTCTCTCTGTTATGTAATGTATGTGTATCTGTATGAGCTAAAAATTACTACATGAACTAAAAATAACATACACCAAGCATTACTTAGAGGAATGTAAATTAAATTAGATTTTCCCTAACATAAAAGAGTTTAACATGATATTACACACACACACACATATATATATATATTTATATATATATATATATATATATATATATATATATATATATATATATATATATATATATAAAAGCAAAACGTGATCTGTCATGTGTAGCTAAATATGACCTTTTCTCTTTGTTTGTTAAACTGATGTCGATACATGACAACGATAACTGACATCAATAAGTGGTTATATTGACGTTTCTACCATCTGTCGTGAGGCGTAACTTACTTATGCAGACACAAGTATTGAATGCATTGATAGGTAACGACCTGTGATCTGGCGAGAATTGCCCAATATGACCTTGTTTCTTTTTTATACAATATGTTTGTATTTTTATAAAAATAATAATAGATATTATTATTATATTATACTAAAAATAACATAGACGAGCTGATTGAACAGAATATTTTACATTTAAGATGCTCAGGTCTGCGAGGGGTGGCTAAATATGATCTTTTATATATATATATATATATATATATATATATATATATATATATGTGTGTGTGTGTGTGTGTGTGTGTTTGTGTGTGTGCGCGTGTGTGTGTGTAAAACCCTGATCTGCAAAGAGAGGCCAAATATGACATTTTCCCTCCTATATGTGTTTGTACAAAATAATAATTGTTATTTATATTAAATATACCATTTATACCATAGACGAGATGACATGAAAATGGGCTTCTAACATAGATAACTTACTTAACATCCATAACAACAAACGTAATCGAAGCTAACCAATCATTTATTGACACGGCTTTTCCGAATGTTTATAACTAACCGCCATGTGCAGTGCAGTCTTAACAGAACTGTGGGCCTCAGACCAAACCAGAGTGTTGCCCACCCCTACCCCTTTCCATGACAACCACTCACTTAACCTAGATTGCCACGGAACTCCTGTGCTCCTGAGTTCCCCTGGCAAGTGCCAAGTCGTTCCACTCGTTAAGACGGCACTGTTGTCTATTGATATTATCGCATTCAGCATACATCAGTTCAAAGGCGCTTGTTTGCATTTGGTATATTATCGTTTCTGGATGTGTTGGACCAACGGCTTTTTGTTTTGTCTTTGGTATGCTTGTACGCAACGGTTCAAAAGTAGGTATAACCTTTTTAGGTGTTATTTTTGTTCTTTAAACTACTGTAATAGATCCTGTGAAGTGGGCACTGGCACCATTGTATACACTTTATAGTGAGTACCGATACCTTTTAATACATTTTATAGTGAGTACAGGCGTTTGTGGCTTAGGCGTTGCGAACGCGCTTAGTACTGTCGGGGTGCCGGGTTCGATCCCAGCTGCGGATGTCTGTCTTGTGTTGGTTTCGACAGTAGTACCGAGCGGTGACCGTTAAGAAAGCAATGGCAAACTACTGAATATAAAATAAAACAGCCAAAAGATGCTGGGGTTGATTTTGCAACGTCCTGTGAAGGATACGCAACTAACTAACCGACACTTTTGTTTTTAAATACAATGCGTAGTGAGTACAGGCTTTTTTTCCTTCCTGTGTGGGAAAAAAAAGCCTAGTTTATACCTCGCTAAGCTATAGTTTTAACCCATTTTGTCTTGACTGTCAATTCAGTCCCTTTTTTCTCCACAGTGTTATTAGCTGAACCCCATCAGATCCAACTGTTTATATCTTCAACTATAGGTAAGGATATTTTGTCCGGATTATTCGGGTGTTTTGGGAAAGGAGCCAGCAGATAGGCTGGCTAGAATGGTCCCAGTGCAGAGGTGATCTTAAACCTGTGGGACAGGGTAACCGGTGAAATGAAAGATACTAAAAATCAGTACCCGGAGAGACTGATACGGCGAGGAGTGGTTGTGGGCAATGGTCGCCACCTGAGACTCAGAGGGGAGGCAAGAAGAGTAGTTAACCAGATGCCAACGGGTACCATCAGTGGAGACCTTCGCTGTCTGTTAATGAGGGAGACGGATCTATAGGTTTATTCTGAAGGCTGTGATGTCGAATCTTCACCCAGATGAATCCAGCTACAGTGTATGATATTTCCCTGTGGGTTACGGGACTCCATTGTGGAAGCAAATGAACAGGTCCACTGTCCTCCTAACATAGAAGAGCTAATTGAACAGAATATTGTACACTTATTTATTTTTCGATAGTTATTAAAAAACAGTTTTTTTTTTTTACAGGCCCATTTCATGTGCCTCTTATAAAAATAAAAAAAAATAAAAATAAAAAAAATAAAAAATAAATATTGTACACTTAACGAGCTGAGATCTGCCAGGAGTGGCTAAATGTGATCCTTTCTCTCCGTGGTGGTTTAAACTGTTGTATCCCTTCCCAGGCCTTTAGCGTATTGGGAATATAGTGATAGACCTATACTTATATAGACCAATCGGCACTTAGTGGGTGATGTGGTCAGCATCACGCCGGTCGCCTTTATTTCCCAGGACCTGGTGCCCTTTCAAGGCTGTCGACCTGTGAGTCAAGGTCGTTTTTAGAAGGAAAAATAAACGTTCGGCTCCGTTAGGACGCGAACCCACAATCTTCCGATCCACAGGCAAGCGTCTAGCCGCCAACGCCACGGCGACTCCCTGTATCATGTATACATATACAACAAACCGTGATCTGAACAAGCATGTTGTAAAAGGCGACTAACTAGAAATGTTTCCTTCGAAGTCGGAGTGCAACCGTCTGAGAGACGGACAACCAACAGTCTGCATACAAATAAACCAAACCTGTTAAATTGATGTACACACAAAACTAAAGTTCTGGAACACGACCATAGTCCAAAAGTAGACAAATAACCAGAACTTTCCATTTGCAGTCAATAAACGGTAGAAGAACAGTGGAACTATTATATAAAGTTACAACAGATGCCCCAGCATTACACTAAAGAGTTGAAAGGAATCTTATATATTATAAATGGATATCGATTTGTGGTCTGTCAAGTGCGGCCAGATATGACCTTTTCCCTGTCGATTGTTCTATTGACATCAATAATTTACATACATATATCCATGTATATTCATAATTAGTAAATGACATGGCTCGGAAAAGCGATTATAACTGTATGTGTATTGAAATAGTACGTTAGAACAACTTAAACTTCATAATTCTACATGTGTACGGAAACTAGCTTATCGTGCCCGACTACTTCCAACAACGACAAACTACATTTTTGGTGGCGGTTGTTGGCTTTGGCGCCTCAAGCAACTGAAATACGTATTTACTGCTCGCACATATTTCTGGATTTGTTTCGGGACTAGATGTTTGTTCACCAGTTTCTCAACTGCCACAATAAGGGACATTTCCTTATAATCGCACTGGCACAGTAACGGAGCAAGTGTGGGAAAACCCGATTGCGGTGATGTTGAAACCTCGACTAAGATTAACTTAAACTTCCACTGAACGCAATCATTATCATCGTGTGGCGTGCAAGTAAGTGAGCGCTGTTTTCTTTCGCGATTACACATGATCACCATAATCACGGACCAGCTCAGTGTTCTTGTCTCGCTTCTATGCTGTAACAGTCGATAGGTAAATGAAATAAAGGATCCATTTCCCGCCTATGAGGCATCGGGCATATGATGCTAGACACATATTTTTATACACCAGTCTGCACCTAGTCAATATCACACGGCTGCCTTTCTTCTTCTTCTGCCTTTCTATCCCCCAATGGAGCATAGGCCCTCAACCAACTCACGCAAAGTCGTTCTATCCTTCGCCATTGCATGGAGCTCTCCCCATGTCCTCCCCATCTTTTTAACTTCATTCTCCAGCTCTCTTCCCCGTGGTTTTTTTTTTTTTTTTTTTTTTTTTTGGCCTTCCTTTATTCCTATTCCCATGTGGGTTCCATTACAAAGACATTCTAGTTATGCTGTTCTCCTGTTTTCTCAGTGTGTGTCCTATCCAACGCCAGCGTCTTTTCCTCACCTCTTGGTCCGCTGGAGCCTGTTTAGTTCTCTCCCAAAGTTTTACATTAGTTATTCTATCATACCATTTAATTCCCTCTATTCTGCGCAGGCACCAGTTAATGCATGTCTGTAATTTATTAGTAATTGTCTTAGTTGTTCTCCATGTTTCCGCCCCATACAATAGTACTGATTTAACATTCGAATTAAATATTTTTAGTTTAGTATTTCTTTTAATTTCTTTTGACCTCCACAAATTCTCTAGTGCTATGAAAGCCCCTCTTGCCTTTTGTATTATTATTTTAACATCTCTATCAGTTCCTACATCTTTATCTACATTACTGCCCAAAAAGGTGTACGACTGCGCGTCTTGGAGTAGGGTGCCATTAAGAGAAACCACATTACTATTTGCCTGATTTATTCTCATTATCTTTGTCTTTCCTTTGTGGATTTTCAGACCAAGCTGCTGTGATCTCGCATCAAGTATATTTAATTTATCTTGCATCTGATTCCGTGAATTGGACAGAAGAGCAATATCATCAGCGAAGTCCAGATCATCAAGCTGTTTTGTAGGGGTCCACTGAATTCCATTCTTGGTGTTAGCAGTTACTGTTTTCATAATCCAGTCTATAGCTAGTAAAAATAAGAGAGGCGACAAAAGACATCCCTGTCGCACACCTGTTTTTATTTCAAATG